GTCAAATGTGAACATTTCTAAGACCCGATTTTCTCCATCAAGAGCTTGTTCTTCCTGTTTACCAGCTGTATCTTCCTGTTCAGTAGCTGTTACTAAGTACTGACTGGATAAAGATTGTATAAGGAGAGCAGTTGTTCCTTTAGCTGATCCCCAGGGTCACATTTAATTGGGAGAAAATGGTAGGTATGGGATCATTGACCATGGCTATAGCAGCCTTTCTGTTGAGAGCTGTATCAGCTGCTTTCACAATTTTGCAAAACAGCAAGACCAGAGTGTTCTTCAGATGCTGCTCATCTTCACCCATTACTGGCAATATAAAACTCTAGTGACCAGGTTTTAGATTATGTTGCAGGAAGCAGCCCTTCAACTTAGTTGCTCTCTTCAATGAAAATTTCTATGTGCATGTATCTCAAATGGATGTACTCCAACTTGCGTATTCTTTGGAATACAAATGCCATTTTCACCATACTTTGCTTAATCTATTTGTGGGATCTTTTTTTTTTTTTAAAGATTTTATTTATCTGACAGAGAGAGACATAGCAAGAGAGGGAACACAAGCAAGGGGAGTGGGAGAGGGAGAAGCAGGCTTCCCGCGGAGCAGGGAGCTTGATGCGGGCCTCGATCCTAGGACCCTGGGATCATGACCTGAGCCAAAGGCAGACACTTAACGACTGAGCCACCCAGGCACCCCTATTTGTGGGATCTCTTAATATGTTAGGGAAACACAACTTTTATTCATGATCTAAGTTCTAAATAGTTGTTTTTTTTTTTAATTTTACTTATGGTGGTGTTTACTATAAAAAAGTAATAGTTTTATGTTGTCAGGTGCATCAATCCTTTAAGATTGCTAGATTTTGTGTCATAGTTACAAAAGCCTTTTCCCAAGTTTCTAAAATTGTTCTCCCACGTTTTCTTCTAGTGCTTTATAATTTTGCTTTTTATCCTTTTAAGCCTTTTTAAAGAAAAAGAAATTTGAGCCATTTGGAATGTATTCTGGTATAAGCTTTTTCAGGTGCTTAAAGTTGATCCCCAAACCAGCTATTGAATAGTCCATTTTCTTTCACTGATTTGAGATGCCGGCTTTATTGCATAATAAATTTCCGTATGCATATTGATCTGTTCCTGGATTTTTTCATTCTCTTCCTTTGCTCATCCATTCATCAATGAATACTGTTTTAAAATATTTAGGTTTTATAATGTTTTAATATCTAAACTTAAAATTTTTTTGAATATTTCTGCTCATTTACTTTTCCATTTTGATCTTAGAATCATTTTGTCCAATTAAAAAATTCTGTCAGTGTTTTTATTGGAAGCACATTAAATTTACTGGTTAGCTTAAGCAGAACTACCATTATAATACTGGATGTAGTATTTTATGTTCAGTGTACTTTTGTGTTTATTTTGAGAATTTAAAAATTTTGCTCACATAGTTCTTTACACTTCCTGTTAGGTTAGTTCCAAGATATTTTATCTTTTTTTTTTTTTAAGATTTTATTTATTTGACAGAGAGAGAGATAGCGAGAGCAGGAACACAAGCAGGGGAGTAGGAGAGGGAGAAGCAGGCTTCCCGCTGAGCAGGGAGCCCGATGCGGGGCTCAAGCCCAGGCTCCGTCCCAGGACCCTGGGATCATGACCCGAGCCGAAGGCAGACGCTTAACGACTGAGCCACCCAGGCACCCCAGGATATTTTATCTTTTTAAATCCTGTTATAAATTGATCCTTTTCTTTCATTATGGTGTCAATGCTCTTTGTATGAAACTATTGATTTATGAATATTCATGTTGTATGCCACTATGTTATTAAATTTTTACTTGTTTCCCCATGAGATTTTCAGATATATGAACATATAATCTATAAATAGTGATAACTTTAACCTCCTTTTTCTACTTTTATATCTCTAGTTTCTTTTTCTGATTTAATTGTGTTTTTTAGTGCTTTCAAAAACCTATTAAGTAATAATAATGAACATTGCTGTTCTGGTTAAAAATATGTCAAGTTCTTTGACATTTATCCTTCAAAAGATGGAGACAAATCCTCTCTCTCTCTTTGTTTTAAAGATTTTATTTAGTTATTTGACAGAGAGCGAGAGAGAGCACAAGCAGGGGGAGCTGCTGAGGGAGAGGGAGAAGCAGGCTCCCCACTGAGTAGGGAGCCCAATGTGGGGCTCTATCCCAGAGCGTGGGATCATGACCCGCGAGCTGAAGGCAGATGCTTAACCGACTGAGCCACCCAGGCGCCCCAACAAATTCTCTTCTTGAGTGGAGGCTAGATGGAGTGACTTGCTTGTATGGAGCAGCAATAAAGTAGAAGGGATAATGTGTGACTTTGGAGACCAGGTCATAAAAGGCAGTGCAGCCTCCTTTCTCTGTCTTGGTTTACTTACTCTGGGGAGAGGGGCGCGGTGCGGTGCCAGATGCCATGTTTTGAAGACACTCAGGCAGCCCTGTGGTCCCAAATGAGGCACTGAGGTTTCTGGCCAACAGTCATGCAAGTAAGCTTGAAAATGGATCCTCCTGCCCCAGGTAAGCGCTCAGATAACTGTAGCTCCAGCTGATATCCTGACTGTAACCTTAAGAGAAACCTGAGCCAGAACAATGCCGCAAAGCTTGCCCCTCAGATACGTGTTGGTAAAGATTTTATTTATTGGAGTAGATTATAAATTGATTCCCAAAAACCCACAAAGCTTAAAAATGAATTGTATCAGTTTGGCCTAAAAAGGACAACGAGAGTACCACGTGAAAAGAGTACTTCAGACTCCTGCACAACTACGGATGGAAAACAGCTGAGAAAACTACTTGTTGTAAACATGGGCTACTTTTTAAGGAACTGGAAGGATAAGTCAGAGGGCGGAATCAAGAGTCCAGCGGATGGAGATAAGAGCCACTGAGTATTCCCAGGAAGTATGATGAAGTCCTAAGCAAGGAACTGGCAACATTTACCCAACTGGATTTTAGAATGTCTATGATCTAGTGTGCCTTCTATTCCCCTCTTTGAAGAAAAATGTCAATAGAGGTAAGTTTCCTGTGCCTCTCACATTACTGCCTGTGAGGCGTGTGGTAGTGGCTGGGGCAGATCATTTGTCTTTTTAACTCACAGATCTTCATCCAGAGGAGCCACTTGAAAGACCCACTTAATGCACACCTGAGGAACTGCAGCCAAAGAGCCTCATCTGTTCCAGGACCTCACAAAATCTCGAACCTTAATGTTGTAATGGGATGAGAACTTTGCAGGGGTCTGGGCAGGAGGTGAGTGTTTACTGCATGTGGAAAGAGTATACAACATTTGTGGCCAGATGGTGGATTTTGGAAGTTTTAAAACACGGCCCCCCCAAACTATTTAACTTTCCTCCCATCAATCTTATTCTATGGCTGCTTCACAAATACAGTACAGAATAAAGAGTCTGTGTCAGTTTCTGGTTCCAGGCCTTCAGTGTTAAAGAAAAAAATATTCAGTGTCACTTGTTAAAAATGGCAAGACAGACTTTACACAGGACCATTACAATAGGTATTAACGACCACACCAACACAATTTTGCAGTGGAGATTAGGCTCAACTCCAAATACAGCATGGCTAAGTGGGAATCTGGAGCCAAGGAGCAAGTTGGGGGTGAGTGAATGTAAAGTTACTATGAAGAAATTACTAGGAGGTAAGGCGGGGTTGTTGTGGCCGGTACCTAACAGGATTCTTTTGAAGGCCCGCCAGGGTGATCAGACATCACCTGGGGGATGGCTGAGGCTAAGGGACCTGAGCAGATAAGGAGGTAGAGGGTTCTTGCTAAAACTGAATTTTACAAGAAAGTGCACAGATGGGTCTAGGAGAAGATTTGGAGTCTGACTTAAGTTTGGTCAAACAAAGAATCTTTGTCATTAAGAAACCAGCAATTTCCACTTCCTGTTGTTTGAGACACTTGCTTTAGGAACCCAGCTGCCCCGCTGAGAGGAAGTCAAGACGACACGGAGAGGCCACTGTGTAGGCATTCCAGCAACCCCAATTGAGGTTCCAGTGGATAGCCAACATGAAGCAATAAAACACGTTGAGTGGGGAAGCCCTTGAGATGACTTTAGCCCCGGCCATGCCACTCCACCCACAGGAGAGACCCTGAACGAGAACCATCTAGCTAAGCCCAGTGAACCTCCAGAACCATGAGCGATGACAATAACATGATTGCGGGATGTTACTGCGACTGAATCCCCAGCTTAACCCAGGCTCGCCATTATGCTCACTGCAATGTGCAATTGGGAGACAGCCGGAGCCCTTTACAGGAGCGTTGATTGGCCTACACCCACGTCAATCAAGATTTTCTGCCTAATAGGCTTTTCAGCCACCAGGCACCCCCCCCCCCCCCGCCCCGCCCCAACCGATCTTTCCATCTGTAGTTTCGGCAAAACCCAGAGACTATCTGGAAAGACCACAAGGGAGCAAAGCCCATCCAGGAGCGGCGTTTAGGGCGGCTGCCTCCGGTGCGGTCCAATGAACTCTTTCTTTTGGCAGCCAATTCCGGCCTCGAGACCGCCCAAGAGGAAGAACGTTTTGATTGGTTGTTTAGTAGAGGGGCACAGAGACTCACGGGAGCCTCGAGGAAGCACTTGCCATTATTGTCCAATTCGCCTGTCAATCAGCTCGCCTTTCTGGAGGGGCGGGAACTGGCTGCCCAGCGGGCACCACCTCTTCCTGGGCTGGCGTGCGGGGAGGCGATGGGCCGCAGGGGCTGCGAATCGGCCGCGTGGGCGGGGCAGCGCTACCCGGCCTGAACAGTTTCTCGGTCGTGAAGCGTCGGGAGTTTCCCGAAGCGCCGGGCCGTGCGGGGCGGGCCCGGGCGAGGGGCTAAAGCCCGGGTGGGGGCGGGGCCGGGGCGGGGCCGGAGGAGGCGGAAGCGGCGAGAGAGCTCAGGCCGCAGCCATATAGGAGCCTGCGTCCGGGCCGGCGGAGCGGCGGCGGCGGGGTTGGCCGGGGTGGCGGGACCCTAGTATCTGGGCGGGTGGGCTGAGGGCCGGGGTCGAGACCGGGGATCGGGTGACTGGCGGGCTGAGCTCCCGCCCCCGCGCAGTGCCGGGGAGGATGAGGCCGGGGGCTCCGGGGCGGGGCGGGCGGCGGCGGCTGCAGCGCTAGCGGCGCAGGGGGTGGGCGGCGGCGGCGGCATGAGGCGCGGGGCCGGCGCCCGCGGGAGGGAGGCGCTGCCGGCGGCCCGGCCGCTCCCGCTGCAGCTGCTCGCCGGGCTCGCCGTGCCCTGTTTGCGGGGCCCCGGACGCTCTCGTCCCGGCCGCCGCCCGGGCCGCCTGTGGTGACCATCCGCCGCGCCGCCCGAGGCTTCACCCGCGCCCTCCCCCAGGGCGCGCCCGCGGAGCTCCGGCCCCATCGCCTGCTCGCGGAGGCCGCGCCGGGCGGCGGCGAGGCCGGAAGATGGCCTGGGTGCTCAAGATGGACGAGGTGATCGAGTCCGGGCTGGTGCACGACTTCGACGCCAGCCTCTCGGGCATCGGGCAGGAGCTGGGTGCCGGCGCCTACAGCATGAGGTACCGGGCGCCCCGGGCCGGGCGGGCGGAAGCTTTGGTTTCCTTGGGGAAGGCCTGCACGACCCAGAGCCTCTGCCAGGCGCGGCTGCGCCCAGCGGTGCCCGGGCCTCCCGGCCGCGGGGTCCGGGCCCTGCCGCGTGGCCGTCGGGCCCAGGGAGCCCCGCGGGCGTCTGTCCACCCGTGTGGCGGGCGTGGGAGGTTGGCCCTGCAAGACGCCCCGGGAACTGCCTCTGAAGGCTTCATTTCTGCTGTAAAACTGGCCGGCTGTTAGGATGGCTTGGGTTGGTGGGGGAAGGGGCTTCCTTTCCTTGCAAGTGATTTACAAGCCCCTTGGAGCTGGAATATAGTGTACGAAACGGTAGAACTTGTATTGGGAAAATACTGTCCAAGGTTTGGTTATCAGTTCCTATTCTGTTTTACATTGTAGTCTTTCCTGGTTGCAAATTTTAATCACTTGCTGTTACAATAGTAATTATATCGTAAGTGAAAGTAGACGCAGGGGGAAAAAAGCACCTTAGTGATGTTTTTTGATTACTTCTAAGTGAAATTTTTCGTTTTGGGGACCACCCTCTTAGGCTCTTTTATTTTGGAGAAGGCTTTAAGATGCAGTGATTGCACAACAAGCCAATAGTTTGTTCAGTCTCTGCTGCCTGTACCAGCAGCCATTCATTTTGAAGGTGGAAACACATCAGAGCTTAGTCTCTGGTCTTTATCCTGAAGAATGCTGTGTTGGGGTTTTTTGTTTTGTTTTGCTTTTAACTTGTCAGTTTGGTGGTTCTTTATTTTTATTTTTAGCAGTATATTGAAATATGGTGTATGCACTATTAAGTTCACCTGATTAAAGTGTACAATTCCGTGCTTTGGCAGCTTTTTGTTAAGGCGAATTGAGATATTTCTAAATGCGTTCTTTAATGCCTGATGTCTTTGAAGTGCTGTCCAGTCTCCCAGTAGCTTTCATACATCTCACTGCTGCTCTCGGGGAGGACAGAGAGCATAAATGTCCTGAAGAGAGACTTAGGGGTCAGAGCAGGCCTGGAATGGTGGGGGCTGCTCCCTGAAGAAATTCAGCTTTTGTATCTTAAAGGGGAAACTCTGGGCAATAAAGAACTCTCAGAGAGGAGGAGATGTTTCTTAAAAGAGTGTGGAAGTGTATGGAGGAAACCCTACTCTGACACTGATTGGGTATGTGCTCCTCTCCCTGAACTTGGCACTTGCTCTCCGCAGTTGTGCAACTTGAGGGCTCTGGATAAAGTGACTTATTTTCTAGAACAACTGTCTCAGTTGAAGAAATTGATCTATTGAAAGACATGGGGTCATCCCACACAGTACTAGAGACGGTGATTTCCTAGTTAAAACACAGGCCTCAAGTGCCATGCTGCTCCTTGAGACCCGTTAAGGTACATGAAGGGAATTTAGTATTTTCAACTGAAAAGTTGCTTCTCACTTCTCAGTTATGGTAAAATGAAAGTTTGCTGCCAAGAACTTTGCTTATTAGGGTTATTTTGAGGTTTTACTTTTTTCCTAGAGTTTTATTTGTTTTAGTGACTCAGCCAGCTAATGAACTTTTGTCTATGGTTTATTCTGTGAAAAGGAAAGAATATCATGATTTTAACCTTTCCCTGACCTTGTTCTTAAAATAATATCTGACATCTTTATGATTACGGGTCTTTTACAACACTTGCCATGGGGAAACTTTGCATTAAATGTTTTTGGTTCTTTGCTTACACGGTGTGTCATTTAATACAAAATTTCAGATATTTTTGAAGGCAAATACCAGTTTTTAAGGAGTTTACTTAGGTTTTTTTTTTTTTCCCATATTTAATTGGGTCCTCAAAACTGAGGAGCTGATGAGAATACTTGCTTGCCTCTTGCAAATTCAAGGCCCTTTATTTGAAATTTAAACTTGGGCAGTTCCAAAATGGACTTGATATGGACTAAGTCTGAAGAAGGCTTTAGGCTATTGGAGGCTTCCTTTGATTGCACTTCCCAGCTTGGACCTGGAGTCCTAAGAAGGCTGGATCTTAGGAGCCTGGTATCTGTCTTCTGTATGGGCAGGCAGTCTCTTTTCATCTGGCATCAAATGGGACGTAAGGCTATTGATGCTTATCTTTCTCTTTGATTTCTTTCTTAAGTTCAAGAAGTAAACTCAAGGTGCTATATTTGAAATTATTGGAAAAGTGACTTCTTAATGAAATGAAAGGCTGCCTACAAAGTAAATTTTTTTGAATTCCAAAGTAAAGTGAAGTGTGCTTATTATATTTGCTCTTTGGATGGCTTAAACCATCCATTTTTATTTTTATTTTTTTTTAAAGATTTTATTTCTTTTTTTTTTTTTAAGATTTTATTTATTTGATAGAGAGAGACACAGCGAGAGAGGGAACACAAGCAGGGGGAGTGGGAGAGGGAGAAGCAGGCTCCCCGCAGAGCAGGGAGCCCGATGCGGGGCTCGATCCCAGGACCCTGGGATCATGACCTGAGCCGAAGGCAGACACTTAACTGACTGAGCCACCCAGGCGCCCCTAAAGATTTTATATCTTTATCTGATAGAGAGCACAAGCAGGGGGAGCCGCAGAGGGAGAGGGAGAAGCCGGCTCTCCATTGAGCAGGGAGCCCTATGTGGGGCTCCATCCCAAGACCTGGGGTCATGACCTGAGCTGAAGGCAGACACTTAACCGACTGAGCCACTCAGGAGCCCCTTAAACTATCCATTTTTAAAGACTTTTTAAGAAAATGGGGGAAAATGCCTTGTAAGAAAGATGGTTTTTCTCAGTAGTCTGACTTAACTTAAAAATGTGTTTGCATTAGGGCACCTGGCTGGCTCGGTAGAGCATGTGGCTCTTGATCTCAGGGTGGTGAGTTCAAGCCCCATGTTAGGCATGGAGCCTACTCTAAAAAAAAAACAACAAAAAACAAAACTATTTGTGTTAAACAATGCAGGTTGATAGTATTGGGTATGTCATGGCAAATTTCTGATACTGCCTTTGCTTCTTCCCCTCCTTTTTTTCCTCTTGACTCTTTAGTTTTCTCTCTGTCTCTATCTCCCCTCCCCCCTCCCGCCCCTGCCTTCTCCCTCCCCTCTCTGTGTGTACTGGTATACCACATTTGTATGTGAGGTATGAGCTACTGCAGATTCTGTTTGAAATGAGGCAGGTCATAAATGTTTTTTAGAATCTTAGTTATAATATCAAGATTTTAGAGATGGATGAAGAGACCTTAGAAACTTCTAAACCAATCCTTTTATTTTGAACTGAAGCCCATAGATGTTAACAGTGTTGGTCCAGGTGACCTGTTAGTGGCACTACCATTCCAAATGAAGGCTAACCTTCCCCTCACTGAAGGAAGGCTGAAACCCATTGTAACTTGAAATCTGGGTCATTCATGTTTTCTGAAGTAAGGGACAGATAACTAAATGACCTTTAGAAAGTAGCTCATTAAAACGTTCTTAAGAGGGTCTTTTGGGCCACCTGGTAATTTTCTTTCCATCTTACTGTTTACATGAAATTTATAATCTGTAACAACTTAATTTTTAGGACTTAGGAAGTACTGTGACCTCTTTAGATTACACACAAAATATTAAATTATTACTTTACAGAAGGCATTGGTCTTGTTGCCGCATAGACTGGGGAGACCTCGGGTTGTGAGGCTCTTGACCCATCTTGTCCAAAAGATTTCACCAGAGGCTCTTGATCTCATCAGGAGAAAGCCTTCAAGGCCAGACACAACACAGCAGTACAAGCAGGAAAGTTTATTAAAGCAAAAGTATGCTCTCAAAATGTGAATGCTAGTGGGCTCCAGGGAGCGTGGGAGAGTGGTGTCCACTAGGGTTTGGATTTTTATCCACGCCCATTGTGGAGTCCAACGCGGGACTTGAACTCACAACCCTAAGATCAAGACCCGGAGATCAAGACCTGAGCTGAGATCAAGAGTTGGATGCTTTAAAAAAAAAAAAAAAAAAATGAGTTGGATGCTTAACCAGTTGAGCCACCCAGGTGCCCCTGGGTTTCTATCTTAACAGTTGTTAACAAGGGGGTGGAATCTTCACTACTTGAGAAAGGGATTTCTTGGAAGCGCAGCTTTTTCTTCCTTATTTGGTCAGGGGTTTCCTGTCATGGCACCTATAGGGAGGAGATTTTAGGTATGGTAATGTAGTATAATAAAGGAATAATGTGAACCTTGGCCTACTTTGTCAGCCACCTTGGACCTGTCTGGTTTGGTCCAGTTTCTTGTGGTTTTGTTTTTGAGTGCTGCTAGGACAGGCCTCTGACTTCCTCATAGTTGGCAATGACTTCCTGTATGCTGGCCTGCAGGCATCCTATTAGAACCTAACTAACTGCCTACTCTGAAACCATCGTAGTTGTTTTCTGGGAAATGATCGGCTCACTTTGTTCATTTTTGAGGAAGTTTCTGTCACATACCCAGATCTGAATAATCATAGTTTGTTAGTTTTTCTTTCAAGTTAAAGTGATACTCCATGAGAGAAACTGCTCGGTCAGCCTGCAGATCAACATGGTGGCATAAAAGCTTTCCTTGAGACAACCATTGCACTTCGGTGTGCAGCAGAAATATGTTATGCCTACCCAAGAACCAATATATACTAAAATTAATAATTTTTATGCAGTGACCACCACTGCCTTGATTTGGGTACAGTTTGGTGTCACTGCCTTGATTCATGCCAAGGCCCCAGCAGTTCTAATCACCATTGGTTGAGTGCAAATGTCATCAAAGTGAAAAAGGCAAATCATGTTTTAGTATTATTCTGAAAATAGGTTTGACCTTCCTAACCCCCTGAAAGAATCTGTTTCCTCAGCATACCACAAATTACACTTTTGAGAATCTCTGGTTTAATGTGTGTGTACAGTTTAGATACTTAAAATGTTTTCTTCTAAATTAAAGTAAACCCATTATTAAAGCTCAGAGAAGTTAAGTAGCCTGCCACAATGTCATTTAACAAATGGTGGAGCTAGAATTTGAAGCTCCAGAGCTAGGGTATGGCTTCTACT